CCCAAATCAAACATGAGTTTGACTCCCCTCCTGTAAAGGAGTTTAGACCAACGTTTCTGTGCAGGATGTTTTTAATTCAGACACATCGGAGGGTTTCAGAGCATGAGTGGCCTTTTTAAGGTCATGCCACAACATTTCAATCGAATTTCACTGACCTGTCTGACCTGCATTCTTCTTTTTTCTTTCCGATTTGATTTATGCGCTGTTATTTCAACTTTTAACTTTGTTTTCTTTCTCTTTCGAATCAGATGTGACGCCTTCCGAGAGGAAGCAACTCAACTTTCTTCTTCTCCAGCTGTAAACTTCCCACTTTTCTCTCACACTGAGTCAATGCTTCAGTTTGTGTGTGTGTGTGTGTGCGTGTGTGTGTGTCTGCCTTTTCTCCCCTGTTTTAAGCAGATTAGGTTTTTACTTTTGCATCTACCTGCTTTTTAAAACTGTAAAACTAAACTTTAAAATGTTCTGACTGGTGATGTGAGGTGTGTTTTTGAGGAGCTGTCCTTGGTCCTGATGCTTCCTGTTAAACTTCCTGGCGCTGCTGCGTCTGTGTTCAGACAAGCAGATTCATTAGTCGCACAAACGCTATAATGACAAAGTTTGATTAGCACTTCTCAAGTGGAATAACCCCTTAAAAAGGAGACATAATCATAAAACATTTCAATTAAATCAGACATATTATGGTTACTTCTTTCATGAGCTCTGAAAAGAAAATATGACAAAATATTTATATCATTCTACTTTAGAAAGTTCTAGTTTAACTACTTTCTTTTGCTACAGACAGCAGAATCATTAAAATGCAACCCACAAGCTGTTACTGCAGGGAGCTTCATGTACCCTGTTGGCTTTTGTTTTCTATGAAAAGTACTGCTTACTTTAACTTTGTTTTATTGTTAAAAAAAACAACCCTTTTGTGTTCAAACTGATATTGACTGATGTTAGCAGACATCAGCAGTTATGAAAAGCTACAGCAAGAAACCTTTTAGGATTGTTTGTCCTTTTAGTTTGTCTTTGGGGATTTCTGAAACAAAATAAAGGTATTAAAACTGCAACAGAAACTCAGGGAGGCGGTGGAGAAGAGTTTGGAACGGAAGAGGATTAGGATTTTAATCTCCGAATTATGACTTTAGATCTCAGAGGATGAACATGTTAGATTCAAAGGAAAAGGTCAGAATTCTGATTTAGCCCCCCCACCCCTGAATTCTGAAATTAATGACAGTATTCTGATTTTAAAAATGTCAGAATTCTGAGGAAAAATCAGAATTCTGAAAAAAGTTCAGAATTCTGAAATTAAAGTTAGAATTCTAAGAAATAAAATCTGAATTATGAGGGGGAAAAAGTCAGAATTCTGAGAAAAAAACCTGAATTCTGAGATTAAAGTCAGGATGTTTTTACTCAGTGTCCCTAATCTTCTTCCGTAGAGTCAGCTTCTCTAAAACTGAGGCGAATGTTTTCCACTGGGCTGGGAAAC